CATCTTAATATGCATATCTCAAAGATCATATATGATGCATGAGGCATAAAATGAGAACGACTGTCACGAAGAAATAAGCGACAAAAAGCTCTAAAGAGGAAGCTCCAAATACAAAGGAAAGCAAGATGAACAATGCTTATGACTGGCAAGGACTAGATGGAAAATTTTATCGAAAATAGTACCGTATAGAAATGTCACAATATCGATCATTCATGGGGCTAAATCCATAGTCCTATTGGTAAAAACTAGCACCCATGGTCCACTAGTCATGGCTCTTCCACAATCTGGCTCACCGGTTGCGTCAAAGGCACTTGACTATTGAAGTCGATCTATGTTACCATCGCATGATGAGCTTCTCCTTCACACTGAAATGAGGCAGAGGGTGGGCACAATCGTCCTTCTCCTCAAGTTCATCGTGAATATCTTCTTTATTACCTCGAAAACATGTTTAGAGGAGGAATTCACAATGTACGGAGCTCTTTCTCTGAAGTTTCACTAAAAAGATTAACTTTATCTTACTCGATGCAAACATTTCATATTCAATCCATTTCTTTAGGGTGCAAGTCCTTTTCATGTTCCTTTGTAGTAGCATCTTCAACAATAATGTCATCCATATCATCCAACAAATTTTGTTCCACGGCACAAACTCGCTTTTTAGCATATTGAAGTCCTTCTCACCTTTCGCATTTGGAGATATATGATTAAGCAAAGGGGGCATAGACTGCACAAACCAGAATTGAGGAGCTCGAAATCATCATAGACATTGTGAGTTTGAAATAAAAAATATAGCATGAAATCAACGGGTTGGGTGATAAATATAGCACAAACCATCATGTCTCAATTGTAAGTACAAGATACTAACTAATTCGGTGATTTTAACAAACATAACGTAATCTTCCTCTTCTAGGCGACTGTGATTTATTTATTTATTTATTAAGGTATAGCGAACTTCAAAATATGATTGATCGAATTATTGTACACGTGAACGACTTGCATATAAAATGATTAAGGTGGATTCTTGCTTTCATCTAAATTTTAATTTCAGCTATTTACTTTAATTTTAGCTCATCCCTTCATTGGTTCAACCCACTCTATAATTTAGGATCAATTTGCGACAATAGCAGCCAAAGAGTTGACTATGCTGTCTGTGCGTGTTAAGTTTTCGGCTTTTCGCTAAAATACCTGATTTTATACCCAATTTTGTCCTTTCGAAAATCATATGCTGCTCTACTGATTTGTAAATAAAGTAAAGAATTATAATTATATATTGGAGCTTGGAAAAAATTCAAATGCAGCAGGCAGCAGCGGTTGAATACAAACAAATTGCATTATTGTACTGGAGGTCAGGATAGACATTCATAGTGGTGTCAATTTATTTTATTTTATTTTTATAAAAAGAGTGGAAAAGGTAGGATGATAAATAAACGAAAAGGAAAGAAGAAACAAAAGGAGAAGGTGCTGGGAGAAATCAGAAGAGTGCAGATGGTGTGTTTGTTCAAAGCAAGATAACCACACAAAAACACACTTAAAAGTTAAATCTAGAACAAACACTTATTTGATTTTATTAGAATAATAACCATTTACCCTCCAATTTATATATACTAAAAAATCACCCAATAATAAGAAATATTTCCCATTTTGTTTCTAATACGAAATAAATTATTTTAGATTATACTCATGATGGTGATATAAAAAAATTCACTTCATTTTATTATTAGAAACAAACAATTCTACGCATTACGTTCGTTTCGTGCGAAATGATGTTTTGTTATCTGTACTCCCCAATTGCCATCGGTCCTCTCTTGCCCAACCTTTAAGGACCTGCTCACAACCTAGTCCGTCGTCATGGTGCTAGATCCTAGTTAGACTCATCACACATGGAAACATATGGGTTAAACATTATCGAACCCCACGAATAGGTGTGTGACAACAATACTGAATCCTAACCAACTTTTTTTGTCCATCAAGAATTGTAACTACAACAAAGAGTTTTTCTAATTGGGAGTACCACAAGATCTATTGTATGTCATCTCGAGTCGATCTACCCTTGTTAATAATTTATAGCCAACCCGCCACCTTCACGATCTTAGAAATGCACAATATGAATTTTCACAACGAAGTTAGAAGATCATCTTTTCTTGTGGACTTTATCTTTGTTTGGTTTAATCTCAACGACACAATCACAAAACAAACATCTTTGCAAAATGTGCTCCTAGAGTCCTAGTAAGACTCGTTAGAGAGTTGGACATTTCCTTACTTTTGACACATCCGTTAGATGTGGGCGACCCGAACTTGTGCTACTGGCTTTTGTATGGCAACATGGGTGACCATAAATGATATAGGACGCTTTCGCGTCTGTCTTCTACAACAACAAAAAAGAGTTGGACACACAATCTTGATCTTGTGTCAATAAATTTTAACTAAATTATATTGTACAATTATGGTCAATCAGGATGTAGTCAGATAATATTCCAAAAAACCACTTCTTTTAATTACTAAATGATATATTTAACCTCTAGGCTCTAGTCAACTTAACTTTTTCCATAAACATCAACCAGAAGCCACCTTTCGTTTTACTTTTACTAAAATTAATGTCTCTGAAGAGATGCCAGGTTCCTGCTTTGGGTAAATGATGTTGATTTTTGTTTGAAATAGAGAGAGAGATGTGGGGAAGTGGCAGATGGGCGTAGAAAGGGGATGTGAGGGAGGGCAGAAACGGAAGAAAAAAATGAAGATATATTAAAACGTCGGCGTAAGGGAACGGCGCAGTTTCTGTCCGTTCCCGATAAGCCCGGCGATTTGCTGGAAACTGGACACCATCAACAATCATAATGGGTAAGCAAACCCCTTCCCCTTCCTCTTTCTAGCTTCTTTCTTCTTCTTCTTCTTCTTCTTCTTCTTCTTCTTCCACTGTTCTTCCCACTTTTCACTTTGTAAGTAGTAATAATTTCTCCAGCTGCCTTTCTGGCTTCCCAAACACTCAACCCTAACCACAAACACACACGAGCGAGCGGAGGAATTTACTGATTCAATTTCCAAATTCTCCGGGACGATTCGTCCTCTGGAATTTTTTCCCCCCTCCAGCACCGGTTTCATTAATGGTGGCGGATTCGTCCTTTGTTACTCCTGTGCAGGAACCGGCAGGAAGCTAGAAAAGAAGCTGCTAAGAATACTCGAAAAACAGTACTCCGGTAGGTGAGCTGCAAAAAGGAATTCCGGCCTCCGGCGTACAGGAACAAGCTCTCGTACGACTGCGAAAGGTTGCTTTAGCTCTCCGATTCTCTTCTCTTCTTCTTTGTTTTTTGGGCCGAAAGTGAATTCGACATGATTTGGCTAGCTCGGCAGTTGATAGGCCTAGGAGGAAATAGTCTTTCCCTGAGCTTGGGGCATTTTCTAGCAGTACTGCTATCATTGTCTCCATGAGGGGAATACTTTCCAAAAAAGAGAGAAAATGATTCCTCCGCTTAGTAAGAAAGCCAGCCTAATAGTCGTTTCCGGTTTGTTCGTTTTAACAGTGAACAGCGATTTTCCCAGATCTGTCGGAATCGGGATGGCAGCAGCAAAGATCTACTGCAAGGTATAATTGTTGCTTTGATGAGACGAAGAAGAAGTGGACAGTAAGAATAGACGACGACCCATTTTGTTATTTTCTTGTTTTATTACTTGTGCGCCTACAGTAGTATCCAATTAAGCAAATCTGATTAGGCTGGCAGGGGGGTTATTGATGGTTATTAGATGATTGACACCTGTAAGAAACAATGCCCCCCCAAAACTCAGCTGGGTCGAGCATTTTTTTAGCTTTTAAATTGGTTGCTGGTAATTCTGAAACACAGTGTATAAATTAAATGGGGGGACTGTGGGGATTCGTCATTTATTGTTCTTGCTTCTAGGAGAGCTGCTGGAGGTAGAAGAGAGGAGGAAGAAGAGGAAGGGCAGCATTGGGTGGTGGTGGTGGTTAACAATGTCTGCCATTTTTAGTGTCAGCGAGAGCTTTAAATACACAAGAAAGAGAGACCCAGGAAAGAAAGGGCAAAACCCAAGTGAGAAGAAAGGGGATAGGGGCGGCTGAGTCCCGGTGAAGCCTTTGCTTTAGCTTTACCTTTTTAGCAACCTAAAGAGAGATCGAAGGCAACTGCGGTGGCCTAGCTAATGGGTTTTAGAAAGTTAGTTTTGAGCTCTGGTTAAAGCTAATGGTCTTTAGGTTTAAGTTGGGTTTGCACAAGCCCTTTTTTAAGCCATATAGCATCATCATCACCATCTACAGTGAGCCAGCCTGCGTAGATCTCTCCCTTTCTCTCTCTGTGGAAGAAATGTGAAGAGCTTGATTTGTACGAATTGAAGCTATGTCTTATAATTTTCACCCTTTAGTTTAGTTCTGTTGGTTTATTTTGGTTTTTCTTTTTAATATATGGTCTGTGTGGGTTCTTGGTTGCAGGGTTCAGGCTAAGGAGGAGGACTGAGGCTGCCATTTTCAGTCATTGCTTTTGTGAGGGGGCTGCCTGCCTGCCTCTGCGCAGCCTGCTGCTGCTAAAAAGCTTAAACGAGAGAAGAGAGAGAGAGGGGAGAGAATGCAATGCTGGTATCTCCTTTCCTTCTCTTTCTCTCTCTACTGACTTAGACCGTGATATATCAGAGTGAAAAAAAGAAAAGAGAAGAAGGCCCCCTTTTTTATCACTACACCACAGCCCAAAGTACACTCTGTATTATCATCATCAATGCAAAGGACACTGAAACCCCACTTGCATTTCACCTTCTTCTTCCTCCCTCTTCTTCCTTCATCATCTTTCTGAGTGAAAGAAACAAAGAAACCCCATTTCTCTTTTCTCTCACTCTCCCCAAAACTGCAGAAGAAGGAGAGGGGGGAAGAGAAAGAGACTGGTTTGAGCTAGTCTGTGAAAAACCCAGAGAAAAAGAGAGAGCAAGGAAAGAAGTAAGGAAGGATTCTTCATAAAAATTCTTCCTTTCAATCAAGTTTTGACAAAAAAAGGCATGAAAGTGGCATGGAGATTGAGGAGCTTCATCCAACGCAACCTCCCTGCAAGTTCTCCAGAATCGGGAACGGTCGAAACGACAGCAGCAAGATAGGCACCATTAAAGGAAGCGGGGGCGGAGAGGATCACCACCACCGCCAATTCCAACCAGATACAGATGATGGTGAGGTCAAGATGGCCGTGTGTAACCCTGCCATTGGCGGAGCAGCTGCCGTCACTGTCGCCGGCGACGGTGCCACCAATCGACTCCGGGGCTGGCACCACTCCAGGATCATTAGGGTTTCCAGGGCATCCGGCGGGAAAGACAGGCACAGCAAAGTTTGGACCTCCAAGGGTTTGAGAGACCGGCGGGTCCGGTTGTCAGTCACCACCGCCATTCAATTCTACGATCTGCAAGACCGATTGGGTTATGACCAGCCCAGTAAGGCTGTTGAATGGCTGATTAAAGCCGCCGCTGATGCAATCGCGGAGCTCCCTTCCCTCAATGCTTGTTTTCCCGACATTCCCAAACAGCTGCTGAGTGACGAGAAAAGAATCACAACCACCGCCGTCACTGCTGAACAAGGCTTTGATTCGGCTGATTTGGAGCTTCACCAAGAAGAAGAAGATCCCGGCGGGAACTATCACCCCAATCAGAACCAGAACCACCAGCAGCTCTCCCTGTCTAAATCTGCCTGCAGCAGCAACTCAGAGACTAGCAAAGGTTCAGGATTGTCACTTGCGAGGTCAGACGTTCGGGCGAGTCGTGTCAAAGCCGCCCGTGAGAGAGCAAAGGAGAAAGCAGCTGCCAAAGAGAAAGAGAAAGACCATACTACCACCGACCCCAGGATTTCCAACCACCACCAACAGCACAATAACATCAACACTATCGCTCAGAGCTCTACGTTCACTGAGCTTTTAACTGGTGGCATTGGTGGTAATATCGCCAGCAACAATGGCAACAACAACAACACAACTGCTGCGGCTGCTACCACAATCGCGATTAATCCATCTGAGGTCAATTTGTTCCACAACGCAGCGACAAGACCATGGCCGTTGACTGCTATGGATTACTTTGGGCCGGGCCTTCTAGGGCCGCCTGCTTCATCCACCCGCGGCAGCCAGCAGCAGCATTGCTCGTCTGCTACGGTCTTTCCCGGTCAAATCCAGCTAGGGAACTCGATCCAGCAGCAGCAGCAGCAGGGAATGACAATGTCGATGTCAATCCCGCAGTTCAATGTTGTGTCATCGGGTGAGGCTCACCATAGCCACCATCACCATCAGGAGCAGCAGCTTCTGCAGCAGCAGCAGCAACAACATTTCCCATTTGTTTCCGACCATTTGATGCCAGTAACTACACAAGGAGGTGGTCCAGTTGCGGACTATAACCTCAACTTCACAATCTCATCAGGCCTTGCTGGTTTCAATAGGGGGACCCTTCAGTCCAATTCATCACAATCACCGTCTCTTTTGCCGCCTCAATTCCAGAGGTTTGCTTCACCCATAGACGGATCCACAACTCATTTACCATTCTTCATTGGTGGCGGTGCGCCGCAGCAGCCTCTGGAGAATCACCACCACCACCACAACCACCAGCAGTTATTCCCTCATGGGTTGCAGCTCTGCTATGGCGACGGAAACAGCAGCAGCAGCAGGCAATCTGACCACAAGGGTAAAGGGAAGAACAACTGACGCCGCTGCTTTGAACCCCTCATTGCCTCTTGAGCCATCTTCTCCCTGGTAAGCCCATCACATTAATGATCTCCATTCAGTGCTTTTGACTTTTAATAATGGGTCATACCGTACGTAGTTAGAAAGCTTTTTTTTTATGTCATGTTCATGGCTTTGCTCTTTTTGCTTTTCGTTTTTTGTTGTCTAAGTGATGGGTTCTGGATCTTCGTGTAGTGGCTAGTGGTGCATAGTAATACTAACTATTCTAGCTCTACCATCTTTTTTTCTTGGTAATCATAAACTAAGTTAGCCATTGGGCAACTTTTGTGGGGTTATATGCAAAGCAATATATTATAATGAATTAGATAGTGTGGGATTCGTTTGCATGGGTTGATGTGAATGATGATCGGCTGGTTGTCTCCTTGCCTGTATTCTTGGTGGTTCCCTTCTTCCCTAGTCCCTAACAACTTGTAGACTCATTGACAGGTGTTATCGTCTAAGTCGCAAATGTCATGTGTTTTGCTCTGACTCTGCTGAGGGAGAGAGAGAGTCACTTTGTAGGGTGAAACCTTAATTGCTTTAGAATCCCAATTGCTTTGGTTTGTTTTTGTTTTTGTTTTATTTTCTTGCCTTTTGGCCCCGATATACCAAACCACTATCAAATGACCACGCGGCATTGCAGCCGGCTGTTGGTTTTGGTGGCGAGCTTTTCCAAAAGCCTTGGTTTAGTTTGTTATGTTAGTTGGTGAATTACATGAACGCCGTGAGTAAAATGCTGCCCTTCTCTCTGGTTGGCTGGTTTCTTTCCCACCATAACATTCCATTAGTTTATATAAAATGACTATTCTTCAATAGTATGCAAATGAATTCCATGCCAATGCAATATTTTGACGTCCACTTGATTATAGTTAGCCCTAACATCTCTTTTCCCCCCTAAAAATGTATGCTTTTGTGTTCTTGTTCTAGCTTTCGAAATCTCAGGAGTTCATTCCTATCTCAAAAATTATGTTCTTAATAAAATGCATAGATATTTACTATTATGAATTCAGGATGATCTCTTTTGTATATAGGCTCTCATTTTCCGTATCTTGTTTCACCTCTTAATTATTTTAAAATTCGTGTGAAGACTTTAATATGAAATATAATTGTTTTCTTTCTATTAAATGTGTTGAATTTTTACTCATTGAAACCATAATGTAAACTAATGTTGAACTCCTAACTAGAAACCACCAGTCTAGAGTTCAACTCTAAATTTTGCAGGCTCAATAACCATAGCGTGCCTACTAAGATTCATTATTGATACAATCATCTAATGACATTCAATTATTTTGTTTTATTAACACAATCAGAGTCTCTACCTTATAACTTCGTAGAGAAAATAAGATAGGCATAATAGTGCATTTCTTTTTTCTTACATATTATTCAATGATTTCATTCTTTCCAACATAGGGCGCATTAAAAACCCAAAAAGGTTTTGCCAATTGATTTTATTATTTAAATCACAGAATGAGATTAAGAGTGGTGTTTTGGAAAGAGAAATTTGAGTGTCTACGAGTCTTTTATAGGGCAGTGGCATGAGTCAGTGCTTAAGTCGGAAAACTAGTCCTGCCGTCCTCCAAAAAAACTCGTCTTCGCTTGGGGGACACTGTTATTTTGCCTGGGTGGCACTATCTGTAGTAGCTGGTTTTTGCTTCTTTGGTGCATGATCTTTTTATGAGCTTCAAATGTGATTCTTATCTATTCTTGACTTTATTTTGTTTATTAGGTTTCAATGCATTGTGCACGTGATTCTATACATTTGTGTATCATCGTCATGACATGGTTCATGTACATTAGATCATTCAAAACTATTTATTAGGGCTAGAGTGACCACATATATCATTTTTCTTTTCTCAATGTGGCACGAGACATAATTTTTTTCAATCTCATGATCAAAACATTGTTGTCCGTCTTGGTCCCTTAGATCAATATCTCCAACTTGCTAAAGTTATGCTATAAACGAGCTATCTTCCTTGGTTTTGGTTTCACCCGGCTTTATGTGTAGGCTAAGGTGCAAATCTGGGACTAAGTTAGGAGCATGCTCGAAGATCTCTAAAGTTGATAGGGGTAGACTTAAGCAGGGAACCATAATCTTTCATTCCTTGGACTTGCCAGTTAAACTGTCTTTTCACTCAACTTATTGTTGGTGTGGCTGTCTGGGATCCTGATATGCAAGTTGCAACCTTCCATTTGGAATGGATCTTAGTTTGACCTAATTAATATTACTTTATCCGTACATGTAAACAAGAAAATTTCCAATCTTTCATTTGGTTGATTAGGTCATGGGTGACGTTTCTGTTTTACTTGATGAAACCCAACAACCACTTGCTTGTCAGCTAGCTCATTAACTAGCTTGCCATTATTATGTTACTAGTTTGTCGGCTGCTTGAGATTGGAGTGTTTGTCTTTGCCCTGCTGCTGTAATATACACTCACCAGCATAAAGTACCTGTTCAGACGCTTAAATACTTCAGTTATAGCTGAATTGCCATGGTTGTAATGAATGGGGAAACTGAACATTAGTGAAAACTTGTGATGCAGGGAGTGAAATAAAAGAAGGTGGTGGAAACAGGTGGGAGGGCGCCAAGGTGGAGGAGGCGATCGATCGATTGAGAATGCCATGGCCATGGAGGGTGGCTGCGCGAGCTAGCTAAGCTCTACTGGGCAAGTGCATTTCTCGCTGTGTGGGGTGTTGTAAGAGTATGTTGTCGTGTTTATTTAAAGAAGAAAAGGTCAATTGTGCATGGGGCTAATGTAAGCTTCGTTCGTTCGTTGGCCCTTTTCTTCTGCTGCTATTGCTTGCTTGGTTTACCATTTTGGGTGTCGGCGGCCATGCAATTAGCGCATCAGGATGTTAACATTCCCTGTTGCGTCGGCTGCTGCTCTGCTAAGTTAAGCTGTTGTATGCTTAGTTGGTCTTCATTTGTGAAGGTTATGTAATTGACAAGACAATTGGATCGAATTGTTATAAAATTCTTTCTCTGCACCTTCCCTCACCACAGAAGTGAACGTGGACTTGACCCTTCATCTATATAAAATCCAATTACACAATAATAATGGTTGCATACCTAGTTGTTGTTGTCTTTAATGTCGTTGTACAATTTTTTTGTGCATATATTTCACACCCAACATAGCACCTCTCACTCTTAAATTTTGACAACTTTGTATTTGACGGACATACTTCCTTACATATTACAGAAAGTATTAGCATTTGATTGTTAATGAGGTTGTTAAATCTATAATGATATTTACCTCTTCTCCATCTTTCATTTTTAATTGATTTAGCTCATGTAGTATTTTGTTTAGACTTAAATATTGCTTTTATTCTGCGCTTTTTATTGGAGGAGTTTTTTTTTTGTTGAAAGGTTTATTGGAGGAGTTGGTGCATCGCTGTTTCTTTATTCACAAAAAATAATGGTTATTAATTTCTATTTCTTTTTTAAAATTCAAACTTGTAACGCATAACCAAATGCAATGATTAAATTGTGATGAACTTCACTTTGGCCCAAATTTAATGACTTATGTAATACTTGAATTCGCCGGCAGCAAGATCACTCCAGTTGAGGAGAAGGTGTCTCACTTGCAAATTTGATGATCATTTAATTATGGTCATTAATTTGATTTCAAATTTTTGGATTAATACTTAAGTAATTTAGATGTTTTCTTACCATTCTAAGGAGCAACATGTAATGATGTAATGGCCAGGATGAGAGATGATCGTTCGCATTTGCAAGGAAGATATTTAATCGGGTAACTATCCTACAAAAGAGAGCTACATTGAAATAAAATTCCATGTACCCAAGTTATACATTAGATTTTCCATTAGAGTTAAAGAAATGCATGCTATTTTAAACGAAAATCTAAAAGAATTACATACTGGGGAAGTTTTAGCTGGAACTCTTTATGGATAACTTTTTCAGTGAGTCAAGTAGATGTCCATTAACTCGAATACTGAATAAGTTGGCCAACAACATATGTGGAATGAAAAATTCAAAAGTGAATGTTTTGGTTCTAAATGCATCAATTAAAGTAAGTTGGAACTTGGAATTGAGAATAGTAATTCAAGCCTGAAAGAAATGTCATTTGGTTGCACTGCTTGTCAATCTCATATTGTTTGATGAAATTAAACTTGTAAGGTGGAATGGCTAGGATATCGTCGCATGCTTGAGCCTCAGTATTTGATTCAACTTTGATGACCAATTTGTTTGTAATTGGCCTAAACAATCTATTTCTCTTAGCTTGTAAGTTATTCATAAGACATGTATAGAAATGATAACAATCTTAGCAAGAAACACATAATTTTATAACATATAAATAAAAAACAAACCACAAATCAATGGATTACCGATTTGTTAGGGATGACAATTAGTCAATTACCCACCCATGGGCAATTTTAGTCCAACCAAAATAGACCCATTGATTATGGGTAGGGTATGGGTGAAGTATATACGGGTTTGGGGTTTGTAGATGATTTTGGGTAGGGCATTGATATTGCTTCCATAATTAAATGGATATGGATTGGGTATGGATACTCATTTACTTGAGTATGTTTTAACTACACATACAAAAATTGAATCTATTGGATCTATTTGTAAAACTTTAAAAAATTAGGTACCAAAATACAATACACAAAAAATTTAGGTACTAAAATGTAAATTTTTCGTTGATAGTTTGGGGACTTATATGTAAAAAATTAAATTTAGGTGCTACATCTAAAGATCTATTAAGTTAGGTACCAAGCTGAAATTTGCAAATGGTACGGGTACAAACCCAAATCCATGGATTAAAAACCCAACCCAACCCAAATATAGAGATATTGCTATATGGGTAAAAACCCATAAAAATCTACCAATTTACCATATATTTGGATTTCATACCCACCGCAATTGGGTTGGACAATAAAATACCCATGGGTATGGGCATAATTGTCATCCCTATTACTGGCTGAAATGTTGTATTTCCCCGATATATACATTTTGCCTT